GAGCCCGGGAAGATGGGAGGGGTGGGGGGATTCAATTCAAAAGATGGTTTCTAAAGGATACGAGCCTCTGTTACTGACTTTTCACCAACAGTCCAGCAACACTACAGTATTAACAACAATTTTAAATAAAGTTTCAGAAAGGGGGGAAAAAAAACCACATAGCTCCAGACTGCATGACTTAGAGAGAGAGATCATGCTGACTACAAACCTGACCTTCTGCACTGTGTCAGTTAACAAGAACACACAACTCCAAGTAGTTGCTTTTTATTTGCTCAGTGCTTTGACGTGAATGACTTGACAGTGGTAGAAGTTTGTAAACTCCTTGGCACTCTAAGCCTCCAACTCCCAGCACAAAAAGAAAGAAAAAATACCTCCATCCAACCCAAGAGCCTATCCATATGGAAATGGATCACTTCACTAGCCCAAAGGGCTCTTTTCATAAGGAAGAAACTAAAGCAATTTATTTTTTGCTAAAAACCCTAAAGGTCTAAAAATATTTAACACAAGCTTTTCAAAGCAATCTATACGGGACTTCTCTAGGTTTTCTTGATTCAACAAGAAAGCTGAACCTGCCTCACAGAAATAAAGAAGGGTCAACCTAGAATCATGGATGTTAAGGAGGAGCGTATTTATCTAGAACGACAGGCCTAAAAATTATAAAAAAGAAACCACTGCTGGGCTAGAAAGCTCCTATATTTGCCACAGGTCACTAAGAGTTCAAGATGTACCAAAGGTGCACGCAGGTTAGTTACCAGGCCGTTTGCTCTTCCAACACTACCAACCAATAAAGGACAGTGCCTATAAAGTGACAGCGTCTCTTTATCTGCAGAGTAAGAATCGGAGAAGTTCAGTGTTGCCTTCATCTCTAATGCAATCTCCAACTGACAGTAGCTAAGCCAGTTCTGTCCTGCTTTGCCTTTTCTATCACCGGCTTTTAACTGGAGGCAGAATACGGGAAACCAAAAGGGTTCTCGTCACGGTTAAAACTTGGTCACTTTACACTTGGATCAAAACTAACATCTCATTTCATGCCACTCCCTGAAAAACCATTGTTCAACTTCTCATAACTACTTCAGAATGATGTCTCATTATTTCTTTGTCTACTCCTGTCAGCCCTCCTATTATACATCTGCATCAACTCAGATCATCCTAGCAACAAAATACATTTTCACTTTCTCAGTTATTATCTTGGAAGCTATTATTAGGAATCATGTATTTCTATTAGAAAAGTGAGCTCATGAAATTAATGCTTTACAACAAAAGGACATATTTAAACAATGTTTCTTTTAATTTCTGTAACTCCAAGAAATCTCACGTTTATTCCAAAGAAACTAACACCTCCACTTAAACAGCAAATTAATATACAGTATAAGAAAATATTTCCATAAAAAAGTACAACTCAAGACCTGTCCCCCAAATCCTCTTTCTTCTGCAGAAAAAGAACACACCAGTATCACGCAAAAAACCCATTATTTATCTATTAAATATAGGATAAGTTACCTGACAGCTTTAATTCCTCTATTTCAATCACTGAACGGTTTTCACCAAAATGTTGACTAAGCAGGTTTTGTAGATCTGCAGGGACACCAGGTTTGGGAGTGGATTTTTCCAGAATATCAGAAATTTTCTTCTAAAAAACAAAGTAAAATTGGTAAGTATGGCATTTCTGTAATTTCTGCTCTTTGGGTAGCTAACAACACTGTAAATAAATGTTCCTCCACAACTTTATACAGTTATATTGGCTTAATTACAGCTTAAATAGAAAAACACCTTAAAATGGGACAAGATTCCCTTCATCTTTAGTGGGAATGCAGACTTCAGACACAAGTTCAGATACTTTGATGAGATGATCTGTGAGCCCGAAGCCAAAAATATCTTGTGCACTCACCTGAAGTGCTACCACAACAAAAACATAACTGAAAGCTGGTTTTGTGAGTTTTGTTACTGTTACACGTGAGTATCAGTTTGAAAATTCAAGGTTTTTTTCATAATTTTTAAAAATTTATTATTTTTAAAGCATAACAACAGGAATTGAGTGGTTGTGTAAGTCTTTGTTACAACAGGGTAATTATCTGTTTTTGAAGGAAAGATGGTTAGCTATATTCACAGAATACCATGCAAGTGTGATGAAAATGAGTTAAAAGCTCACAAAAACAGAAATCAAGCAGAAAGAATTGAGCAGTTGCTTTGTTCTTCCAAAATGTATCTTTTTTTAAAACCAAACTTTAGAGCCAGGACATAAGTTCATAATGATTGTGTTTTACACCTTAGGAATGTTAGCTAATAACAGGTCTGAATTTTCACTGAAGTGAAAGTGTTGCTGTATTTTTTTGCCATAATTAAAAGGATCACAGGGGGGAGAATAGCCCAGGGTTCCTGTTATATGAATGATCTGCCAGCATTTAAGAAAACAGTAGATTTTCAAGGATAGAGACGGCAAGAATGTGAAGCTTCTCTTGTTCTCACTGAGAAGTGGTTCATCTGTGAAAGGCCAGCTTAAGGTTTCTCAGCTGCATAAGCTAAACTGCACTTGTCATTATGAGGATACATGGCAGCATAAGCCTAGAAGTGAAAAGGAGGAGGAGAACGTGGCTAGGATGGAGCAATACTGTATGTATCTGTGAGGCAAAGTGAGATTTCACTGAGATGAGGTGGGCCTAGAAGCATTTTTGGCAGCTTTGGAGGGGTGGTGGGTACCTTCAGTGCAAGTTCGGCAGGCTAAGGTCGAGGATGGTGAAGATCAGTGGCAATTTTGAAGAGAGCTATAGCAGGCACTCAGTCCATCCCAGCACCCACTCCCTCCTCCTCTTCCATTCTCCACCCCGCCATCTTTCCTTCTTCCCCAATACACCCCAAATATTCCCATAAGGGCAGCATAAAGTGCAGAAGGCTGAAGAAGGAAGAGCCATTTGGGGGCTGCTGAAGCCACTCTACCCTACAGCAAAGCCAAAGTAGGCAGCTGCCTTTCCCAGCCGTCTGCCACTTTGGCCACTGCCTGTTCTACCTCTGCTAAAACCAGCTGTGTGTTTGCAAGACCCCAGTTGAATCTTTGACAGTGGGATGCACAGAGATGCAGTGCTTATGCCTTCCTCTCGGTCTGCCTTTGGCCTGGTGCAAAGCTCTCTGCAGTCCCCGAAGACTTTCCAATGGACGCTTGGCTGTTTGGCAGGTTTTTGCAGTGCCTGAATCCGCAACATTCCTTCCCAAGTTTCACCCTCATTTGGCGCTGTTGTATTTTTCTACCATGCAACAACTGTCTTCCCAAAGACTGAGCAGAGGCCATCTGCAGCACACACAGCCTTTGCATGAGGCCCACAATCGAACTTCTTCATTGTCCTTCCTATCAACCACAAACACTCTTCTCTAGCCCCATAACTTGCCTCTTGAGTGACCCACATTTGGGAACCTTTGATTTAGCAGACAGCAAGACAGACCTATCAGGCTCTCTCTACTTGGTAATTCAGTGCAAGGCGCCGTTCCACAGGACCATTACCTCATTCGTTGGGCCACTTGGTTCCTTCAGGAAAATTATGGCACTCTGGAGGGGAGAAGCCTGATACTAATGAGAAATTCCGTAAGAGCAAGAGCAAGGACACCTGAGCAAACTCTCTTCCTTCAAGGAGAGCTGTGGGGAAATGTTCCTCCTGCAGGAAGTTTTATTATTTTTCTTCCAATTCATTCCAGATGCTTAAAAGCAAAGGGTTTTTTTTTCCCCCCTTTTCCTTATTTTTAGAGAGACTTCTTTGCTTGGAACCCATAGATCAACCTGATAAATATTTCCTGATGGTTTTTCTGACAGGCTGTGTATGTCAACTTAGTGGCCTAGCCCCACTGAAACCAAAGGTGTAACTAAGCGCCTATTGTTTGCCTGAGAACAGGGTCTTTTTGTTAGGTCTGGTTCACCAATCTGTCATGGGATGCTTTCGCTCTGGCAGCAGTGGAACAAGTACCGTGGTCACTTCTGCCAGAGCTGCATTTAAAGCTAAATCCCACTCTTCCCTCTTCGCATTCCCTGGATGATTAAGAGGCCTGACATAATATAAAAAGGCCACCTCTCAGCCTTGTGAGGGAGACAACTGTTTACAGTCTGTCCTGAAAGACAATTAACTTGCCTGGTGCCATGTAATTTCCATCTAGATTGCAGAGTGTGTTTGTTGTTGAGGGTGAGGATGGAGCATGGCCAGAGGGACAATACAGAGTATTTATTTATATACTTATGCTATAAGGAGAAGAGTGAACAAGGACAGCTCTTGGCTCAAAAGACGTAACAGCAGCTGGAGCCTGACCACATCGCTGGAATGGGGCAGATTCTGCAGCAACGGAAATTCCACCTTTCTTTGATGCAGTTACATTTTCCCGGTGTGCAACACTTGCAAGTTGGGTGTAGACATATACAAACCTTGTGCAGAGTATGGACACAATGCCACAGTTCAGGTTGGGAATGGGTGTTTTGAGTGAAGTAAAAAAAGTAGGAATTTCTATTCTTCTCTAAAAGAGGCTGCAACGTTATGACCACGTTACTTCTCATCGTCACAGGGTTGTTCCAATTTTGAATCTTGTAACAGCACATACACCCGCTGCCCAGTCCCCAAACACACTCTAGGACATTCATACCTTTTTTCTCCTCTTTGCCTTTACAGCGCTCTCTTGTTTTTCTTCAGGCTGACTTAGAAAACACTCCGTAGGCTGCAAAGCACATATTTAAAAAAAAAAAGTCAGAAAAAAAATATTCAACATCAAATATCCGATCACTTGGGCAGGAGGAAAATGTCACCAAAGGGAGGTAAGAGGGAATACATAAAGTATAATTTTGGGTCAGGGAAAAACAAACAAAACCAAGCTTCCCCACCTGTAGAAGTGATCAAATTCTTACAGTTACATTTATCTGGAGTAATTTTGGAATGGAGATCTACATTGTTGTAACCAAGTGGGGAATAAAAGAACAGAAAATTGAAATATACAGGTTGTAGTCACAATTCCATAAAATGGTCAAAAGCAGGTTTTGATACATTAAGAAAAAAATCAAGAGGAAAACATGAAGTTCATAAACTTTGCCTTTTAATCTCTATTATTGTGTGTGATTGTTTTTCTAAACTTTGCCAACAGTGCTTTAAAATAATTGGGTCTAAGGTGAGCATCCAGATGGTGAAAGATACCACGGAACTGGGCAAGAATAATTGGAAACAATCATGCTCTCGATTTCCTTTTACATTTTTAGTGCAAAATTTAGGAAAACATGTTTCAAATTTGTTCTGCCCCGTTCTTGCTTTGTCTCCTCATAGCAGGCAGGGTCAAATACAGACCAGAAAAATACACGATGCATTTCACAATAATCTTCATCCAACACGTGTTGCTATTATTAACTCTCTTTTGTGCCTGAGTGAGCAGGCTGAACTGGTCCATTTGTAGCAAAGCCCCTGTTCGCATAAGCCAGGGTTAGGATTTCTCCTTAGCCACCTAAAATTGTCCAAAACAGAGGAAGCAAGCCATAGGCTTTCCTTATTTTGGGCATACCAATTCTCTTTTCTTTTGCCTTCTTAGGGACTTCCACTTCATGGAAATGCAAATTAATCTACACAGATGGACTTTAGAGCTTAATAAGTCACTTGAGGAAGAGCAATGGGAAAACAGACTGAGTTGCAGGAAAAAGCTCCTTGATACCAGGATGCATTTGGCTGGAAAAATCTGCTCCTGAGTCTCATCACATGGAGCATTAAAAGCCCAGGAACAGCAAATCCAGCACTGCTCCCTGGGGAAAGCCTGGCAGAAAAGTATACAGCTGAAAGCCAGAGAAGCTGCTCCTTTGTTCCCCTGTGAGGGCAGCTTCAACAGGGCCAAGAGGGTCAAAGGAAAACTAACAGAAGGTCAGAGTATCTGGAGCCTTTCTGAGCCCTCCTTGTACTTACTGCCTCCCCCTGCCCTTAACGGGAGGACACTTCATGACAACTGGTACTATATGACCCTGACCAGCACATATGTGCATTTCCAAGCCCGCTCTCATATCCTTATCAGAAGCATTTTGTAGAGTGCATATTATGCCTACGTCTCCCTTTTCCTCTCCACTCCCCTGGCTAATTTAGCTATAAACACCAGGATACCACCATGCTCAGCACAAACAAATGACCTATTGCTTGCTCCTGCTTTCTGTGCAGTGATACAACCACAGCCACCACTGCATTTGCAAAGGCAGCAGTAGTACTGTACAGAAGTGGCCCTGAAACTGGTTGAGGTTTGCAAGGATACTTAGGAACTACCAGAGAAGATTTGGCTGGGGACCGGCTACAGCCAGCAAAGCACTCTACAGCTGGGGCTGGAGTGTAACGCAGCCTGGATCAATACCCACCCATGAGAAGTTGTGATAGGGACCGTATCTTGCCTCAACAGCAGAGACCTGTCCCTGTGACTTTCTTGGACATAAACACATATTACCTTCACTAGAAACCAAGGGAATGACTGCAAGTAGAAACTCACTTCAGCTAACAAAACTGTTCCAGGGTTAATATAAGCTTTTTGTTTTTATTTTCAGTTTGTTTCTTTTTTAAAAATCTCTGTCCTGACTCTGTTTCAAGTGCTTTTAAAACACTAGCATACATTTCTTCATTCCTATTCCTACCATTAGCATTCCCAAACATTGAGACTGAAACAGCTACCCTCTGCCTTCAGTTCCTGCTCTACCCTCACACATCCCAGCTGTCCATAGATACTCAAAGACCACTTGCCAGGTGTTTTAATCATAAACTCCCTGTTCAGCATCATATTTTAGGCAGAGAACAAGCCTTTCAATTGATTTAGTCAAGGGATACTACCAAGTAATCACAAAGCCAGAAAGTGGCCAAGCTGAATCTCTTTCCTCCAGTAGAGTACGATGGTTCTCTATCCTAGAAAGAGCTACCACTCTTTCAGCATACTGGAAAATGCCACTCATTCACTTCAGGCCCATTTCTCCCTTCACATAGATTGTGAACTGTTTTACATAAATCTGCTAAACACTCCCAAGTGGTATCTGCATGAGAAAGGAATAAAACTGTGCCACAGAGCTGAAAAATTTTCTCTAAGAGAAACCAAATTTTCTCACTGATAACCCTTTATTCAGATGTTTAGAAGTATCACCAAATGCCATGGCTTCTTTTTTGAAGGCAGTATGTAACCCTTTCTTTGCACAGCAACAGAAGCACAGAGTAGGCTTTCAGTCAACACCTTGTTTCCTCAGAGAAGCATGTTAAGACTCTAAATTATCTCATTTACAACAGCGCATAAATATATACATTTAGGCATAGTATACTATTAGCCCAGCAATACTAAGTCCACTTTATTCAGACATTAAAAATAATGCCATAATACAAAGAGAAATGTCATGGTGGTGAATGGCTGTAAAGTTACACCTCTTTGATGATCTGCAGTCTAAAATATTTAAGCATCTGATCTGGACTGAACTTCTGACCCTTACCCAAATGTTAGTTGCCTACCTACGCATGCAATAGCTCTTTGCATGCCACCCTTAAGAAAAGGTCATTTGCATGTTTTTCTTATGCAAGACACAGAGCAGACAATCTACTGGTTTTTGACATGGCTTCCTTGTGCTCTGTGTTTTTATGCTATTTTTACATGGAAGTTCTTAAAATGCAGAAAACAGGAAATTTGTGCTGAGACCACTGATTTATGAACTAAAATGTCATAAATTCCTTGTTTGTTAATCATAGGCAGAGCATAAAATATTTCCTGTATTATATTTCTAACAAATTTTTTTCTTTACATGTTGCCAAGTTACTGGAAATCCAAACGTAGAGTGAAAACATTCTTGTGTGTGTGTGTGAAAGTTTACATTCTAGGTCAGCCATATACTCTGACTTTTGGAGTTTGTGACAAAGTAAATACATCAATGCGCCATTCAGATTGGAGGCAAATTACTCATTTCATTGTAAGCCTGAGGACAGCCTGCAGACTAGAAACATAAATGTTGATAATTCTATTTGCTTGTCTCCTGACTGGCTTTAAGGTGCCAAGTCCACTGCAGAATAGCATCCAGTCTCTGAATAAGGCAGGGATAAGTAAAATGTGTTATGTTGTATGCACCAGAACTACAAAACTACTAGCTTCCCATAAATACATCTGATTTTACAAGCATTTTGCTCTAAAAGATGTGCAATAACACATCCATGACTTTGAGCTCCAGTAAAGCATCGCCTCCTGGAGTTTCGTGGCTATACATCAACTTACCCCATTCCAAAATGCAGACTGATATTCTTCAAATGACAGGAAGAGTTGTGGCAAGTGTTCTGCTACAGCTGAGCAGTCCCAGTCCACCTTGGCAGGATAACCTGTGTTGGTTATCCTTTCTAAACTTCTCATAGAAAGAGCAAAGCAAGTCCTCCAAACAATCTTAACTTAGTTCTAAATGCTTAAGTGAAGATAATGGTGATTAAAAAGTGGCTCCATAGGCATCCTTACTGAGTTGAAGTCCTCAGCATCTGACTCCTCGGGTAGAGCATGTACAAAGGCAATGCAGCTTTCTGCTGTATTGCTCGGTTCTCTCTTTCCTAACCAAAATGGGGAACCAGTTCAGATATTTGGCTCACTTCACCTTTGGTCTCCTTGGAAAGACGCCCAAAGGCATAGTAATTGCTACTGCGTTGTTTACGCTTCTCTGTTACCAAAAAAAGAACATCCCTGCAAATGGTTTTCACCTGGACAACTGCCTAGGCATCACACAGAGAATTTACTATTGACCTAGGATCAAAATTAATATCCATAACCTCAAGGAGACATAGCTTCCAATATCATTTTAGCTCTTTCACAGCCATTCAGTCAATTCTCCTGTACGGTATCAGGAAGACAGAAGAAATTTACCTTCAGACAAAAGACCTCTTAAAATCAGCTGACCTCTAGATGACTCTCTTTTGCTCAAGTTGGGGTGATGCTGTCTGTCAAAGACCTTGCTGCCTTTTCCTTGGCATACTCCATGTAATGTTGAACAACACAGTTCCTACTGGTTTTAAAGGAAGCTTTTAGTAGTGCAAGGCTATGAAAACATCAATCCACGTAGACCTAGTCTTCTTCACTTGGACCTTGCACTGGGGACGTGATTGGGTAGAGATGCTGTACAAAGTTTAAATACAGTTTTCAAGACCTTGTGTGTGGCAGGGAAAGGGAAAGATGAGAGGGGAGGACACTTGGTAGCACCATCCAGGCTTTTATCACTAGACAATCACTTTGTAGGAGACAGGCCTGGCAATCTCAACTCACGCAAGAGTGAAGTTATTATTGAAACGTACTGTAATGTGATCATTTCCAAGTAAGACAAAATAATTTAATTAAAAAATCTTATTATGTGAACAGATCAGACAAAGAATGAAGAAAACTGTCCCTTTACTGAACGAAAGGGGACTATGCTTC